CGGGTAGGGGAAGGGCGGGAGCGGGCCGGCCGGCTCCTCCTCCTCGGGCTGGGTGGGGGCGCCGCCCGGCAGGGGCCTGCGCAGCACGGCGGCCTCGGGGGTCCCCTTGTATTTCATCTTCAGGGTCCTGGCGTTCCTGCGGTCCAGCTGGACGTGGAATTGCTTCTCCACCGCCTCCAGGGCCGTGGCGTCCAGCATCTCGCGGAAGCGCTGGTGGCGCCGGGCCAGGGCCAGCGCATCCGGGTGGAAGACCACGTCGTAGACGGTGTAGCCGGTGCCACGGCGCCCGGCGTACTGGCGGCCCGGCGCCAGGCTGTAGGGCAGCGACCAGTGAGTGCCGGGCGCGGAGCCCACGCCGCCCTCCCGGCCCGGCCGGCGGCTGGGCTGCTCCACCAGCGCGTTGCTGCACACGTTCACGAAGCAGCGCCGCGTCCCGTCCAGGCTGGTGCGCAACACGTGGCCCGGTTCGGGGTGCACGAAGCGCACCTCCACCCCGCGCTCACGCTCCAGCGCCGTCACCTCCGCCTCGTAGCGCCGCCGGTTCTCGGGGTTAGTGAGCTCCTGGGCATACTCGGAGAACAGGCGCCGGAACTCGGGGTCCTGGAAGGCGGAGGTGAGCCTCTGCACCTCCTCTCCGCTCAGGTCCAGGTTTTCCAGCGGTGAGGAGGCTGTTTTTGTAGCCATGGCTTCTTGCCTTCTGACGCAGCGGAGCCGCGGCTCCGCCGAAGAGTCACGGGCCGAGCCAGGTAACCGCCTGAGCGGTTGAGCGCTCGGGCGCGTGCTTGTTGCCATAGCAACGTCGCTGCCTCCAGGGAGGAGGGGCAAGAGTCCAGGGACTCTGTTGCGTCTTTGATTCCTGTGTCACACGGAATTCATGTACTTCTGCAACCCACTGTAATAATTTCTATTATTTCCAGCATTAGACACATCCTGTTTGTTATTCCTTCTCCTTCACTTGATCCTCTTCTGCCAGTTCTCTAAATTTGGGACTCATCCAAGGCCGCTTTACATCCCTCTTGTTGAATCATATTTCTTCCAAAATGACCTTATCCAAGCCTCTAGCTTTTAATACCATCTATGTTCAGATTAGCCCTTTCAACAGCTATTTATTACACACTAAGTGCATCTACCGTGAAGTATGTCACTGTTCCAGGCACTAGGAAAAAACGACAAATCACTGCTACAAGGAAGGGAAGTTAACTGACACCTCCTAAGCTCACAGGATAGGTTCAAATTATCACTTTGGAAAATAGCTACTGAACATAATGTACATCCTATGGCTAAGAAACTGAGGTATAATATATATCCTTCAAAACGTGCTAGGATGTGTATTTTCATAACAGCACTATTAATATGTAATTAAGTACTGGAAACTCCCCACTTCCCATTCTTAGTAAATTAAAAGACATTTGTGTACCTACCATATGTGCTACTATATAGCAACAGTACCAAAGAATATCCCTAACAGCGATATGTAAAAGAAACCAGGAGAGAACTAGGTACCTGTGGCTCACAACTGTAATCCTAGCTACTCAGGAGACATATCTGAGGATCCCAATTCAAGGCCAGTCCAGGCAGAAAAATCCCCAAGACTTTGATCTTTACTAGGAACAAAAAGTGGATTCGTGGTTCAAGTGGTAGAGCAGCAGCCTTGAGTGAAAAGCTACACAAGAGCACAAAACCCAGAGTTCCAGCCCAAGTACTGCACACACATGCACACACACACAAAGATGACTCCCCTCCTCCCCATGTTTCTTGCTTTCTTTTTTCCTTCTACAATGAATGATGCAGCATCAGGACCAGGCCAAGTGCAGGTCTCTCCTTCCATCCTCACTTCCCATCCCAGCCATTATAAATTATTAAGTTCTGGTACTGTCATAGCAAACAAGTAAGGCATGATGCAAAATAAACAATACGGGGCAGGAGTGTAATGCAGTAGAGCAGCTGTACCGTGTGTAGAAGCCCCAGCATGGCAAAAAAAAAAAAAATAGACTGTCCTGTAAGTGTAAAAATTATGGGGAGGGCTGGGAAGGTGGCTCAGTGGTAGAGCGCTTGCCTTGCATGCATTAGGCCCTGGGTTCGATTCCCCAGCACCACATAAGCAAAAAGAAAAAAAGCCGGAAGTGGCGCTGTGGCTCAAAGCGCTAGCCTTGAGCTGAAGAGCTGAGGGACAGCGCCCAGGCCCAGAGTTCAGGCCCCACGACCGGACCCCAAAAAAAAAAAAAAAATTATGGGGACTGGGCTGGGCAGGTGTCTCAGTGATAGAGTGCTTGCCTTGCATGCATGAAGCCCTGGGTTTGATTCCTCAGCACCACATAAGCAGAAAAAGCCAGAAGTGGCACTGTGGTTCAAGTGGTAGAGCACAAGCCTTGAGCCGAAGAGCTGAGGGACAGCGCCCAGGCCCAGAGTTCAGGCCCCATGATTGACAAAAATAAAAATAATTGGGACTATATTTAAATTTTCTAGTGTGAAAAAAGTAATTGCATAATATCCTAAAACAAAGTATTGACCTTGTTAGAATAAATGCTGCATCTTAAACAACTTGGAAACTCCTTGCTGAATACATTATTAGTGCTATTACAGTATTAACTAAATTAGACTAAAATAATGATTCACAAAATTTCAAATACTTGTGTTTGTCTTTGTTTGTTTGCCAGTCCTGGGGCTTGAACGCAGGGCCTAAACACTGTCCCTGAGCTGCTTCTGCTCAAGGCTAGCACTCTACCACTTGAGCCATAGTGCCACTTCTGGCTTTTTTTTTTTTTTTGTCAGTCCTGGGGCTTGAATCAGGGCCTGGGCACTGTCCCTGAGCTTTGTTTGCTCAAGGCTAGCGCTCTACCACTTGAGCCATAGTGCCACTTCTGGCTTTTTTTTTTGCCAGTCCTGGGGCTTGAATTCAGGGCCTGGGCACTGTCCCTGAGCTTCATTTACTCAAGGCTAGCACTCTACCACTTAGGCAGTGCTACTTCCAGCCTTTTCTGTTTGTGTGGTACAGAGGAATCGAACCCAGGGCTTCATGCATGCTAGGCAACCACTCTACCACTAAGCCACATTCTTAGCCCCTCAGCTTTTTCTTTTACATGATACTGAGGAATCAAACCCAGGACTTCATGCATGCTAGGCAAGCCACTAAGCCACATTCCCAGCCCCACTGTATTTTTCTTAAAATGAACATTAGAATATGACTCCTACAGAAATAAACTAGGTTTTAGGTGCAAATGTATAACCCAGACATGTAACTTAAAAAGTATATATGCATATGTATTCTTGAAACTATTAAAATATTCTTTCTACACATTCTAAAGCATACCATATTTGTTACAACTGAGTATCAAAATTTCATAAAGTAACAATTTAAAGCCACAATTTTATTATAACAATACCAAAATTACATAAGATATAAAAGTAAGCAGAATAGTGGTCTTCAGATGGATTTCAAAAGCCTTGAAGTTTGCTGAAAACAGAAATATTTACAAAATTAAACATTTTGGGAAGCTAAGTCATTGTACATTTCTTTTTCTTTTTTGTCAGTCATGGGGGCTGAACTCTGGGCCTGGGTACTGTCCCTCAACTCTTCAGCTCAAGGCTAGCACCCTACCACTTGAGCCAGAGCACCACTTCTGGCTTTTTTCTGTTTATGTGGTGCTGAGGAATTGAAGCCAGGGCCTCATGCATGCAAGGCAAGCACTCTAACACTGAGCCAACTTCCCAGCCCCTGTACACTTCTTAATACTTATAGTTTGTATATCCTTATAAAGGTAGTCCCATCAAAATGAACATAGAACTAGGTGCCAGTGGCTCACGCCTGTGATCCTAGTTACTCAGGAGGCTGAGATTTGGGAATCAAGGTTCAAAGCCAAACAGTGCAAGAGAGTTTGAGACTCATCTCCAATTAACCACCAAAAAAGCTGGCAGAGGAAATGTGGTTCAAGAATACCTGCCTAGAGCAAAAAAATCCAAAAAACAAAAAACATGGGCAACAGCCAGGCCCAAGAGTTCAAGCCCCAATACCAGAAAACACACAGACACACACATACAAAAGCAGATAGTTAATAAACACTTATTTATAATTGACTTCATTTGTTCCTTTATGGCTTTGAAATTAAAATTAGAAAAGGTCCGAATAAGTACACCTATCTAGATATATATTCATTTAAACTGTTTATCCCCCCCCTTTTTTTTTGGTGCCTGTATGGGGCTTGAACTCAGGTGCTGTCTTTGATCTCTTTTGCTCAAAGCTAGTAAGTACTCTACCATTTGAGCCACTGCTTCACTTCTGGCTTTTTTTGTGGTTAATTGGAGATGGAAGCCTTTCAGACTTTTCCTGCCTAAGCTAGCTTCAAACTGTTATCCTCAGATCTCAACCTCCTAAGTAGTATTACAATTGTGAGCCACCAGCACCAAACTAAACTATTTAGCTTTTGATAATACAAAAATTGCATCTAGGCTGGGAATGTGGCTTAGTTGGTAGAGTGCTTATCTAGCAAGCATGAAATCCTAGGCTTAATTCCACAGTACCACATAAGAAAAAGCCAGAAGTGGCACTGTGGCTCAGGTGATATAACACTAGTGTTGAGTACAAAGAGGCTCAGGGACAGAGCCCAGGCCCTGAGTTCAAGCCCCAGGACCAGCAAAAAACCAAACCAAAACAACAAAAATTCCACTGCATCTAAAGCCAGGAACCATTGGCTCACATCTATAATCCTAGCTATTCAGGAGGCTGAGATTTGATGAGAAACAAAACAAAACTGCATCTTACTTTCAAGCGTACCTGGATAAATTCCTAAACATTGTAATTGCTTTTCTATGCATTGTAAGTTTTTTTTGGGGGGGAGGGGGCTTGGTGGTGTTGGTGGTCATAAGGCTTGAACTCTGGGCCTGGGCACTGTCCCTGAGCTCCTTTTGCTCAAGGCTAACACTCTGTAGCACCACTTCCAGCTTTTGGTAGTTAATTGGATACAAGAGTCTCAAGGAGGGCTGGGAAGGTGGCTCAGTGGTAGAGTGCTTGCCTTGCATGCCAGAGGCCCTGAGTTCGATTCCTCAGCACCACATAAGCAAAAAGAAAAAAGCCGGAAGTGGCGCTGTGGCTCCAGTGGTAGAGCGCTAGCCTTGAGCTGAAGAGCTGAGGGACAGCACCCAGGCCCAGAGTTCAGGCCCCACGACCAGACCCAAGAAAAAAAAAAAGCGTCTCAAGGACTTTCCTGCCCAAGCTGACTTTGAACCACACCCCTCAGATCTCAGCTTCCTGAGTAGCTAGGATTACAGGTGTGAGCCACAGGTGCCTGGCCTACATCCTGTCAAACTGTTGTCTGTAAAGGTTTTCACCATTTTCCTTCTGATAGCCTTGTGGGAAAATGCATGCTTCTCTACCATATCAAAATATAATTTTCAAGTAAAACTTTTTGGAAGCTCACCTTGTACCCCATTCATGTGTTTAATTTCTATGTATTAAGTATGTATGTATGTATATGCACACATACATATATACATTACTACTAAATGCATATATACAAAAGAAAGCACATGTTGAGGGGCTGGGAAGGTGGCTCAGTGGTTAAAAGCACTTGCCTTGCATGCCTGAGGCCCTGGGTTCGATTCCTCAGCACCACATAAGCAAAAAGAAAAAAGCCAGAAGTGGCACTGTGGCTCAAGTGGTAGAGCGCTAGCCTTGAGCTGAAGAGCCTGAGGGACAGCGTCCAGGCCCAGAGTTCAGGCCCCATGACCGGACCCAAAAAAAAAAAAAAGCACATGTTGAGATAGGGTCTGACTCACAAATACTCTAAAAATATTTCTTCTTAGCAGAAGCTATGTGTTAGAAAAACTGGAGTATCTCAATATAGTTGCAACATTTCTTTCTGTTCTTTGAAGAAATAAGTACTAAAAAGATTCAAGTTATCAATAGTAAATTACAGTTTGGAAATTACATTAAGCCTTTGAGCATGTGTGGCCACAGAAGATAAAGGAACCAACTCTTTCAGTTTAATATGCAATAAGCATCAATTACAAGTCAATTACTATGCTAGAATCTATGCCAGAAACTTTTAAAGAGGGACAGACACTAATATAAATCAGTTAATTTCTAGCTGGGGATCTGTGTGTGTGTGTGTGTGTGTGTGTGTGTGTGTGACAGACACTAATATAAATCAGTTAATTTCTAGCTGGGAATTCTGTGTGTGTGTGTGTGGTTTAAACTTAGGGTCTCATATTTGCTTTACATTGGAACCTCTTTTTAGAGATTGAATTCAGTACCTCACACTTGCTACTAAGCAGGAGCTCTGTGAGCCACTTTGTCAGCCCTTTTGTGTTGGTTATTTTCAAGATAGGGAGTGGCTTTTATGCCAGGGATGGTATGAACTGCAATCCTATTTTTGCTTCACTTTATTGCTGGGATGGCAGGCACATTGCATCTGTGCCCAGCCACTATGTTTGCCCCATTGCTGAGGATAACAGGAATATGCCACTGCAAAGTTATTGGTTGTAATGGGGTCTCACAAACTTTATGCCTAGGTTGGCCTTGAATTGCAATCCCTTGATCTCTGCTTCTCAAGTAGCTAAGATTACTGTTTTCAGCCAGTTTTCACCCTTTTTGCTTTAATTTATTTTCTAGATAGGGTCTTATGTTTTTTGTCCCAGCTGGCAATAGGCCACTTCAGGCACTTAAAAACCTCTTCAGACACCTTCAGTTGTATTTAAGCAATACAGCATACTTACCTATCTTCTACTGTCTTATTGAAAGGATAATACACTTTGAATGAAAATCCACTTCTTGGAAAAGAGCCCTTTAGAGACAAAAAAAAAAAAGCTTGTAAGTAACTACTCAACTTTTTTTTTTTTTTGGGTCGGTTGTGGGGCTTGAACTCTGGGCCTGGGCGTTGTCCCTCAGCTCTTCAGCTCAAGGCGAGCACTCTACCACTTGAGCTACAGCGCCACTTCCGGTTTTCTGGTGGTTTATTGGAGATAGGAGTCTCACAGTCTTTCCTGCCCGGGCTGGCTTTGAACCGCGATCCTCAGATCTCAGCCTCCTGAGTAGCTAGGATTACAGGCGTGAGCCACCAGCGCCCGGCACTACTCAACTTTTATATTATAACACCTATTTGTAAAAAAAATCAAGGGGCTGGGAAGGTGGCTCAGTGGTAGAGTGTTTGCCTCGTATGCATGAGGTCCTGGATTCTTCAGTACCACATAAGCAGAAAAAGCCGGAAGTGGTGCTGTGGTTCACGTGATAGGGCGCTAGCCTTGAGCTGAAGAGCTGAGGGACAGCGCCCAGACCCAGAGTTCAGCCCCCACAACCAACAAAAAAAAGTATGAAGCCATAAGTTCAAGGCCCAGTACTGTCATAAAAATATATAAGAGAAATTTTGAACTTGTCTAAAAGTTTAAAAGATTTGGGAAAATCTGACCACAAATTTCCAACAGTGAGTAAAGTGAGTTACCTATATTCAACCTTGGAACAGTGGTTCTCTGCAAATGTCCCAGTGTTCCCTGCTGCCCGTGTGGGGCAAGTTACTGGCATCCAGTGATTTCAGAAGCTAGGGATGCTGCTAAACATACTACAACACACAGGACAGCCCCACAACAAGGAATTACTGAGCCTAAAATGTCAAGTACACAGGCTAACAGCCCTGCCCTGAGGAAGCTGGACAAAAATGTGTGTGTTGACAAAAGCAGTGATCAGTGCTAAGGCATGACTTCTTTAGAAATGACCCAGATGGGACAAAGAAGTTTGAAGTCCAAAATTCACAGGAATCAAGAAAGTATACAGAATAGGGCTGGGAATATGGCTTAGTGGTAGATGCTTGCCTAGCATGAAGCCCTGGGTTCGATTCCTCAGTACCACATAAACAGAAAAAGCCAGAAGTAGCGTAGTAAAGTACTAGCAAGTAGTAGAGTACTAGCAAAAGAAGCTCAGGGACAGTGCCCAGGCCCTGAGTGCAAGCCCTAGGACTGGCAAAAAAAGAAAAAAAGTATACAGACTAAAGAATCTCTAGTGAAGGTAATATTCTGTTTGACACAACTGTGTTTATGTCATTGTTTATGTAGTATGTATTGTCCAATCAACTACTGTAGGAATTTTGAAGCAACATTCTGAAGTAATTTCAAGGTTCTACATAAAAATTAAATAATAAAATGTATCTCAGGGCTGAGAATGTGGCTTAGTGGTAGAGCGCTTGCCTTGCAAGAATTTAGCCTTGAGTTCAATTCCTCAGTACAACACACAGAAAGAGCCAGAAGTGGAGCTGTGGCTCAAGTGGTAGAGTGCTAACCTTGAGCAAAACAAGTTCAGGGACAGTGTCTAGGCCCTGAGTTCAAGCCCCAGGACCAGCAAAAAAAAAAAAAAAAAAGTATCTCAGTGAAATTCACTTGTCAGTCTTGAAATTGTTGCTACTTCACAAATTTTCACCTATCCTGGGGGTCTCTGGAACACAATGCCCACTGTAGGTGAGGGATCACTATTTACATATTAAAAGAAATAAAAAACCACAATATAATGAAGCTGGAATAAGTGAACCATGACATAGCAAGGGACAACTGTATTACAGTAAGTTATTTTGAAGGGGAAAAACACTCATTTTACATTTATATGTTTTGCTACACTTCTTTTCTTTAAAATATCTTTGCTTCATTTTGTTTTACAGTCCTGAGCTTGAACTCTGGTCCTGGGCTCTATCCTTGAGCCTCTCTGTTGCTCAAGGCTAGCACTATACCACTTTGAGCCACAGCACCACTTCTAGCTTTTTCTGAGTTTATTGACTCACAGACTTTCCTGCCCTGGCTGGCTTTGAACCATGATCGTCAAATCTCAACCTCCTAAGTAGCTAGGAGTATAGGCATGAGCCACTGGTGCCAGACTTGCTATGCTTCTTTTTTAAAACCAAAAACACATTATAGTTACATACTATACTGAAATTTTTAGAACTTGTTATTTATTAGATTTATTCAAAGCTTTGCTAATAGTGTAGTTTTACTTCAACTGTAAATAATGTACTTTAAATTTATAAAAATGTGCAGGAGTCTTGACAAACAATGACTATTGCATTCTTACAGGGTTTATGCAGAGGCACTCGGTATTCGTTATAGTGAAAGGGTCGTATTTGTCTGCGGTGACCAATACATCAGGTACAGGGTACACTCTCAGTGCATAGTCATACGCCCAGTACACTGGGCAGACATACAGAGGCAGAGGAGTAAGATGTCCTTGGGATAGGATAGTCTTTACAAACTACAACAGAACACAAAACAAAGCAAACTTCAGTTCACTTGTAAAACAGAATTTAAAAAAATTAAAATAGTCACAACAAGCAATTTCAAATTAAATAATTACCAATAGGATCTAGAAAATTTGAGACACAATTAGGGGAACCTGAACCACAGAGCTTTGGTAAACACTGATAAAAAATGAAATTAATTATTCTGTATTTTAAGAGATAAACCTATGAATTTTCATTTACTACCATATGTATAACATAGTCCTATTAGATCAGTTGTACAAATAACTCATTTCCTAATTCCTAAAACCGACTGCATAGTGTTCTGCACAGTGGTACTTTTAATACTGGCTGCACAGGAGGCTGAAGCAGGAGAATCACTTCAACCCCCAAGTTTGGAGACAGCCTAGGCAATGTAGTGAGCCAATAGCAATACTAATACTAATACTACTAATAATATAATAATAATTCCATACTTTGAGTAAAGCCACAAATCAATAGATAGCCTATACAAACTTTTTTTTTTTTTTTTGAGTCCGGTCATGGGGCCTGAACTCTGGGTCTGGGCGCTGTCCCTCAGTTCTTCAGCTCAAGGCTAGCGCTCTACCACTTGAGCCACAGCGCCACTTCTGGCTTTTTTCTTTTTGTTTATGTGGTGCTGAGGAATCGAACCCAGGGCCTCAGGCATGCAAGGCAAGCGCTCTACCACTGAGCCACCTTCCCAGCCCTATACAAACTTTTTATTATAAAATGAAGAATAAGTATTCAAACGATTTACTTCCATACCACATATAGTCAGGATTTGACAACTTTAGGTTTCTTTTTTAAGTTATTATAGAGTTTCACTATGTAACCAGGCTGGGTTCCAGTCCCTCAATTCTGCCTCCTCTGCCTTCCAAGGGTTAGGATTACAGCATGTTCAACTTTGCCTGGCTATCAGGAAACTTTGAAGCTGCAATATAAACATTCCATATCCTCCCATATCAAATGGGTCATAACATGCTAAATATGAATATTTTATTAAACACACATACAAGTATTTAAAATACAATTTAAGAGATTTAAAGGCAAAACAGAAAGCTTCAGAGAAATTCCCTGCTTGTTGTGGACTTTGTTTTTCACCCGTTAGAAGACCTTCTGTGGAAATTTGCAAAACAATGACTTACTAACAAAAATCACTAGGCTGGGTATGTAGCCTAAGTGGTAAGATGCCTGGTTAGAAAGCCTGGGACCCTGTACCATCAAATCCCCAGTATTGAAATAAAGAGGCACTGTGTGTGCGCCAGTAGTGGGGCTTGAACTCAGGGCCTTACACTCTTGCTTGGCTTTTTCACTCAAAGCTGGCAATCTACCACTTGAGCTATACCTCTACTTACCCTAGTACTGAAATAATTACTGAAAAAAGTATATTCAAATTACTTTGCACCACAAGTAAACATAATAACGTAAGTGTAAATTAAGGGGCTTAACGAAATTTTGTATATAGTAACAAGGGAGTCCAACCAAAAAGTTGACTTACATGATTAGGAATATCCAAATTGCTACTAGGAAAACGGACACAGTTTCTGCACATTTTATTCACTAAGTCTTCACGAAAAATAATAATTTCTTGTGTACAATATTGAATTCTGAAATAAAGCAATAGTTGATTTGACTTCCTTAGGAAAACATAGAAGGTAATTTTAAAGGCAAAATATAGAATACAAAACCATTCCCATGTAAATATTTAGTCTACCTTATCTAGTAATCCAGTCAATGACTTATTTAGCTTTTGTTGGCCTGTTTGTTTTGTTTCTGCAGTGCTGGGAATTGGACCCAGGGCATCATGTATGTCAGGCAAGTGTACTACCACTGAGCTCTATGCCCAGCCCTTTACCAAATGGTAACCATGTGCCTACCACTATTCTAGGGAGGGGTAAGCAAAACAAAAAGATCCTAGCCCTCAAGCATAGAGGTAAAGTAGACAAAATAAACATGCCAATTTGTTAGAATGTTGGAAGGTGGTTAAGTATATGGGGAAAAGAAAAAAGCTGCTGGGCCCTGGTGGCTCACACCTGTAATCCTAGCTACTCAGGAGGCTGAGATCTGAGGATCGCGGTTCAAAGCCAGCCAGGACAGGAGAGACGGTGAGACTCCTATCTCCATAAACCACCAGAAAACCGGAAGTGGTGCTATAGCTCAAGTGGTAGAGCGCTTGCCTTGAGCTGAAGAGCTGAGGGACAGCACCCAGGCCCAGAGTTCAAGCCCACGGCCGACCAAAAAAAAGAAAAAAGCTAAGGATCATACCAAAGTATTCACACATATGTTTTTTGTCAGTCATGGGGCTTGAACTCGGGGCTTGGGTACTGTACCTGAGCTCTTTTTGCTCAAGACTAGCACTCTACCACTTTGAACAACAGTGCCAATCCCAGTTTTCTGGTGGTTAATTAGAGATAAGAGTCTCACATTTCCTGCCCCAGCGGGCTTTGAACAATGATCCTCAGATCCCAGCCTCTGGAGTAGCTAGGATTACAGGCATTAGCCTCCAGCTCCTGGCATTTTTTTTTTTTCTTAGACCAGAGAATTAAATAGGATGAGTGAAACAGGAAGGGTTCAGAAGGAAGAATGATATGAAGACACGCTTGAAGGAGGGACCATCTTTTTCATCTAAAGAGGAATACTGGGAACAGGCAGACAGACCCTAAGACTAGAGTATGCCTGGCATACACTCAAGAGTGTTGTGAAAGGAATAAACACCAAGAGAAGAACAAATCAGGGCTGGGAAGGTGGCTTAGTGGGAGAGTGCTTGCCTAGCAATTGAACCCAGAGGGTTCAACAGAAAAAGCAAAAGCTGGAAGTGGTAGAGTGCTAGCCTTGAGCAAAAGGAGTTCAGGGACAGTGCCCAGGCCCTGAGTTCAAGTCCCAGGACTGGGGAAAAAAAAAGATAGCAAAAGAAAAGAACAAATCAGACAAGTACTGGCCAGATCATCCAGGCAGGGCCTTGATTACCACTGCATGAATATGGGTTGTAAATGAATGACATAAGGGGCCTCTTAGTTCAGGACCAGGACCGTGATATGCTGTAATTACTATGACATTGCGTTAACAGACCATAGGGGGGAAGGAGTAGAATAATCCATGCTAGCCAGGTATAAGGTCATAGATGGGGAGATAAAAAGGTAGCCAGAGGCTGAGTGCCCTTGGCTCACACCTGTAATCCTATCTATTCATGAGGCTGAGATCCAAGGATCAGGGTTTAGAGCCAACCCAGATAGGACATTCTCTTATCTCAATTAACTACCAAAAAACCAGAAATGTAGCTTTGTGCACAAAAGCTCATGGATAGCACTCAGGCCTTGAGTTTGAGTCCCAGGACCAGCAAAAAAAAAAAAAAAAAAA